GAGAGGGTCGAGTGACACGACCTTTCATGCTTACCTTAGTTTAGCAATTGATATTGTGGTTTCCGACCATATATGCATCCCTCTGCGGTTCCCGATTACCGTGCCCAAAGCAATCGTTCCAATTCGCATATCCTGGTAGGAGTTAGGGGGGAGCGACACCCGAGTGATCCTTCCACAAAAGAGTTTCCAAAACCATTTACCTTTGCCTTCTTTTATTTGAATTAGCAAACCTTTAAACCAAGCTTTTTTCCCATGTCCAAGACAATTGCCAGTCATCTGAACCCATGTCTAAAACCTTCGGACGAGCTAGTGGTGACAACCATCCCGTGAACTCTAGCATCTAGAGGTTACCGTCGTGGTATTGAGACGATAGGGCCGAGAGTTTATAATTGTGTACATCTTTTGCACCAAAATGGTCCCGACCCCACTGGACTTGAGAGTGAGTGATTCATTCTTGTTTTGCATGTCATATCATACCCCGCAGAGGACCTTTTTTGCCTTTCCATTTGTTCCTCGGACTTGAATTCCATGCATGGTCGGTTGTGGTTGATAAGTGCTCTTGTTGCGACTTGCATTGATCCATGAACAAGGTGAGAACTTTTCGTTTACCCTTTTTGGTGGCTTCGAATGTCGTTTGTGGTGGAAGTCGGTATTGCTTGCAATGGTCCATGTATTGATTTCCAATAGCCATTGATAATTCCCACTTTGTGCCCTTTGAGTTGTCCCCAAAGTATTTGTGTAGGTTGAAATATTACCTTGTGTGAAATGGTTTGCTTGGGGACAAGCAAACATCTAAGTGTGGGGGAGTGATTTAAGCCAAATTGTTGGTTTCACTCCTAAAAGGTTGGTTTTACGCTAGGTTCCTCGTGTTTTAGTGTGTTTCGGGATTCAACAGGTGAAACCAGCCTCGGAGTCGAAAGTTGGGCGCAAAGGATCGAAAACCAGGAGAAGAGGTGAAAAAGGGCCAGGTCACGGCTTTCCCAGGAAGTTCACGGTCATGCAAGACCATGAAGAAGGACCATTACCCGTGAACCGCAAGGCGTCCAGAGCCAAAACCGAGGTTACTGACGATGCTGAGTTCACGGTCACTAAGACCGTGAAAGAAGGCAGTTGACCATGAACAAAAGTGAACGATGCGGCGCATTTTGGCGCACGCCTGAAGTTCACGTACGCGTTTCATGGTTCACGGTCGTGAACTCAACTCGTCTCTGGTTTAAATGATGAGCAGAAAGGAGGAGATAGGGCCCATTTTGTGTGAAAAGCCTTCTTCAGCATTCTAGAGAGAAAAACACGAACCAAGGAAGAAGAAGGCTAGGGTTTGGCTTCAAGGTAGATTTTGGGAAGATTTCCTCCAAGGAAAGCTCAACTCAAGGGCCAAGAAGACTGGGAGCATCCTCCAAGATGGTTTCCACCTCATCCCCTTCTATTTTCCCCATTTCTAGCATGGAATAGACCTCCTTTCACTTGGGTGTTGTGAAACCCTAACTCTACCATGTAGTATTCTTTGATGTGTATTGGATGATTGTCATTGGGTATTGGTTAATTCAATGATTGAGGTATTATTTATCATGATTGTGCATGCTTGTGCTTAGCAACCTAGGGGTTGTGCATGTTTTGTGCTTAGCATCCTTAGGTTTGTACATTTTGGTGCTTAGCAACCTAAGGATTGTGCATAATTGTGCTTTGCACCCTTCGGTTTCTGCATGTTGGTGCTATCAATCTAACTAGCCACCTTAGCTTAGCTTAGAGAGGAAAATCGCTCTTCCAAGGGAGACTCAATCGAGTTGGTTTTCCTTCCGCTTCTAAGCCACCTAACTAGACTAATTTAGGGCAACCCTAAATGTTGGATTAAGCATGTTGATTAATCGCAATTAAGCCGTCCGACCTTTGAGTTGAGTGAGGGAGTAAGTCAATTACCGATTGTCTAAACCGAGAGGGTCGAGTGACACGACCTTTCATGCTTACCTCAGTTTAGCAATTGAGATTGTGGTTTCCGACCATATATGCATCCCTTTGTGGTTCGCGATTTTTCGTGCCCAAAACAATCGTTCCAATTCGCATATCATGGTAGCAGTTGGGGGGGAGCGACACCCGAGTGATCCTCCCACAAAAGAGTTTCCAAAACCATTTACCTTTGCCTTCTTTTATTTAAATTAATAAACGTTTAAACCAACACTTTGTCGCTAGATAATGATTTCAACCATTGAAATAGGGGTAGACGGACCAACCCGGGTCGATATCTAAATACTTGCCCTATACTGCACCCGGCTAGAATTTAAAAACTTGGACTCTAGTCGGGATTTTATTGTGGTGTAGTTTCGTGGGAGTCACCTTCTCAAATTTTTATTTTTTGTGAGTTAATGGTTTCTTCACAGGCTCATATCGGAAGCTTTCATTCCTCATGCCTCTCTATGAACACCAGTGACTCCCCCCCCAATATCACCAACACAACTGCCAGCTCAGACCTGTCCAAGTGATGTCCAACCTAACAGAGATTGTATTGCTAAGGGACCACCTACTAGTCATTCCAAACGAAAGCATGATGTGATAGTTACCTCAGACGAGAAGTAACTGTTGGTTCTACACTGCCCTACCATCGTCCAAGCTTGCCAACATTCAGTTTCATGTTATCTTCTTCCAGCCAATAATTATGGACAATGTCAAACATGGAACAAACATAGCCTTTTTTATTTTCCAATTTTCTCCTACATAGGGACAAGGTAGCAGAAGAAAGTCTCAACATACATATTTATGATGGTTGGGTGCTTAATTAGGTGGAGACAATTATTATTGTCATATGACGCTATGTTTTATGTTTGGATTTTTTTTCTTCAAATTTGATTTCTTCGTGTTATTACAGTTGTCCTGGAAGTTAACAAGTATGACTGTGCAACCACAGATTTAGTTAAAGAGCTAATTTCTCAATTGGATTTCTGTATAGAATTTCATATGAGACGATATACTGCATCCTTATATTAGCATTAATGCCACTCTGCGACCAGGTAGCGAATGGAATGTGTGCAATCTCTTATAGCGTGTGCAATCTCTTATAGTGAATGGAATGGAATGTGTATAGTACGTGAACGATGAGGAGGGATGGGTCCTGGAACCAATCACTTATATTTCAAAGCCCAATAAGAAGCCCAACACTAGAAGACTTCAGCTCATGTAGAGTACGTCAGAGGTCAGTAGGGATGGGTCCTGGGACCAATCACTTCTATTTGAAAGCTCAATAAGAAGACCAGTCCATGAATTATTTGTTATGGTCTGCAATCTCTTTGCTTCAACTACTTACCCATAAGTATTGAATCAAATAACTGCCAATTCCTGCCAATTTGACCACTTATCTACCACGTCCCTCTTCCAAACACGATCCCACTTTCTATTTACACGTTCTTTCCACTCCAGGTTCTGTTTCCAATTAACATAGCCTTGATCACACAGTAAAACCACAATTTCGTGGTCTCACTCAACAAACTTGAATGTAATGGCTTTCGCTTCTGTAAGAGACCTTAAGCTCCTTGATAATTCTTCTACACTTCGGGTTCGTCTCTTGTGCATCTAGGCATTGCTCACACCATTAGGAGACTCCATTTCACATGCGAATATGCTTTTCATTGACAAGGATGTAAGTTCCACTGTATTGCTTTTAATGTTTATACGTTTTTTATTTTATTTAAAGGATTCTTTGATGCATTATTATTCTTTTCCATGGTGTTGATATTGAGGCAATAGTTTGTCAACCCCATGTTTCGCATTTCCTTCGACGTCTCCATGAAGGTTGGAATTATATCCTCTTCCGTTTTGTTGTGGAGAAGCATCTTTGTAGTCACCATGTTGTCCCCAGTGATATGCGACTATGTTTTATAGCCAATACTGCCGTTGAAAGATGAGTGATGAAGCTTATGACATCCCAGAGGTGAACTTCCGTTTTTTGTCACTTGACAACTTCCGAATGGCGTTTCTCAATCGGCATCTTCTTCCTGGTATTTATTATTTACCTTTAACCAATAAACATCAATTTCTTTTGACTTCAATATTGAGGTCATAAATATTTGGGGTCTCTGTAGATTTGGTCGGTAGGATAGTAGCGTGCCACCCCACGAATGTTGTATCCCCAGGACTGCCACTCAGGAGCAAAAAGATACGCCTTCAATTGTTAGAGTACGTTTTCTTTTGGATCAATAATAGTGTGCATCTTGGTCAATTCATGCACTAATTCTCACTTTCGATTAACAACTAGGGGTTGTGTTGTCACTGTCGTCTTTTGGGGTAACATTATCAATGAATTTGAGAACTTGCTTCCCGCTGCTGGTGTGTTTGGGAAAGTTTTGTCACTCACCTCACTCTTTATCCAACATGAGGAAGGTAAAAATTACTGAATTCATAATTAAAACTGTTCATACTAAATTTTTTGCGCAATATAATTTTTTTCATGCCCAACTTGAATCAAATTCTTGTTTGTACATTTAGAAAATTGTCATACACACCATCATTCATTTCCCCCAAAATGCTACGACCCATTTATTCTTCTAAATATTAATAAATGTCAATTCCTTTTTCCTTTCCATGCTTTGAGATCATAATTTCCTGCTTCATTTTAATAAGTTTATTATTTCAATTTCTATTATGCAAATTTGAACATTTGTTACATTATTTGATAGGAGAATATGTGTTTACTGCGTCCCTAGCTACAAAAATATATGTTTGACCTTCATTGTCCTCAGATTCACTGCCTCTTAAACCGGTAAGTTCAATTATGTACTAATTTAACCATTTCAGCATTCCAATTGTCCTTCTTACACATTAACTTTCTATTCTTTCTTTTATTCTACAACCATGTTCACAAGAATTATTTCATCACCCATCTCACATATCCCCAAGCCAGAGAATTTAGTGACAGTTGTTATGCAATAAACCTTTTTGAACTTCAACTGGACATCAACAACATGGTAATAAACTCTTCTAACACTAACCATACTTTTAATACCTATGATTTCTATCAATATCATAATTTACTTAAGTTTTTCACTTACAATATTCTACATTAACCCACCTTAGGAACAAGTCTATCTTTGTGTTGGAGATGTGACCGAGATGGTGACTTCACAGTGTCCTGTTACACACTCAACTGTCATTCATCTAACCATTGTAGATGTTAGTGGTGATGTTGCTGTCATATTTACCTCATGACATCTTCGACGAATTGCTTCAGTTGTCCTCCCATCCAATGATCTTTTGCATTCGGATTTCAACACTATTCTCCACTCTCTAGAAGGTCGGCGTTATGTATTGCTGATCAAAGTTGGAACATGGAAACCTGTTCTACAGTATTGTGATATGGTGTTGCTTAAATTATTCCCAGCGGTTAATCAGTAATAGTGGAGTATTGTGTTTTTCATTCCTTCTTTATCTTTTGGACTTTCGGACTTATTGTTCATCCCTACATATTATAGACCAGTACTATGCCTCCACTTTCTTAATTTAGGGTTCTTCTATTACCTCGAGTTTTTTTTATTTCTCATTTCCCTGACTTATCGAATTTAGTTTTGGAAGCACAAGATTAAATTATCCAGAATGTGGCGGATCATCCGTGGATCTATCTCCATTTGGTCGAGGGTGCTCTTGAAAAGTATGTCTACCGCGCTTCCTCCGTCTATGAGTAGGCAGTGGACTTTGCACGCCGCCACAAGGGCGGTAATGAGTAGAGGTTCCTCTGACGGAACTCCATTCGGGATTTCGTCGAGGCTAAAAGTGATGAGCATGATTTGATTTTTCTCCGTCGTCACGAGATCTACCGCTCTCTGTCTCTTTGTTTTCTTTTCTGGGCGGACTCCCTCCACGGAAACCACGCTAATCTCTTTCCGCACCATCAATTCCCCGGTTGTTTTGTCGTATCCTGCAGGCGGGGGTTGATGAGGCTTTCGGATAAGTGCCCCCGCTGGATGAGGGCTTTTATTTCCCAACGGAGCACGTAGCAATGCTCTATCAGATGTCATGTTTCGCGGTGGAACTCATAAAACTTCTTTTGGTCGCGCCTATTCTCTGGTTGCCACTAGGGTCTCAACCAGTTAATGTGGTAGTCTCTTCCATGAGGTGTCTCGCAGCGTTTTGGGGCATGAGATTGCTGACCGCAATGGCCACCCTGGACCATCGGGAGTAGAACGCCCTTAGACTCTCTCCTTCCCTTTGCTTCATGTCCACTAGAGTCACAGTGAGCAGGGGCCTTCGCTTTTGCGAGGCGAATTTGGTAGTGAATAGTAGGATGAAATCCTCGTAGGTTCAGATGATTTCGTTTGGCAGGCGATTGTAGAAGTCGAAGCATATTCCCGCAAATGTTGATGGGAAGGTTCTGCAAAGGGTTGTGTTGGAGCATGTCTAGAGCTGCATGCGCAGGCAGAACGCACTTACTTGGTCCTCCGGGTCGGTAGTTCCACTATAAGTGGGGAGTGTGGGGGGATTTCTGGCATCTGTTCCGCCATGATTTTTGGGCACAGGGTTTGGTGCAGGGTAATCCATACAGGAGCGTGGTATGCCAGAGATAGCTGTTTCTCCAGAAAGTCAAGGTCATGCCGCGGAGCTGGTTCCACGGGCGGATTGGCTCCCGTGGAGGCGGTGCCCGTGAAAGTGGAGTGGGCATTAGGGGTAAAAGTGCGGGCGGTTCTCGGGAGGGCGCGTTGGCTTGCGCTGTCATGAGGGCCATCATCTGGCTCTGCATGTTGACGATTGCCTTGTTTTGATGCTCCATCTGTAGGCGGATTTCTTTGGAAGACAACTCATCGTCTTCCTCGATGAGCACGGCGTCCAAGTTTTGCGTGACGTGGAACTGCCTTCCCGCGTTGGGGTTATTTGTGGCGTCATATAGCCTTTGGCTGGTGGTGGCTTTGAGCGGGGTGGTCTCGACCTCAGAAGGATCTCGAGGATCTTAGGGATTCGTCTGGGGCTCACTCGTCATTGTAGCTTTTGACATCATGCCCCACGGTGTGCGCCAATGGTTTGTGCAAGGCTGGTGAGTTGGAGTCTGGCATAGTGGGAGGGGGAACCATTGTCACTCCAACGAGAGAGGCAGGCGATAGAGTCTAAAGTTGAGAGAACAATTCTTAGAGAGAGAAGCCGAAATAGTTAAAAATGCTGGGAGAGAGAAAATACGATCCTTGGTCGGGGGGAGTAAATGTCATATTTATAGTGTTTACAGTTTAGGTGAGCAATAAATGCGACAAGACGGGTCTGACAGGGCAGGGGCGTCTATTCCCGAGGCGTTCATTGAGCAGCGAGAGGACGATTTCCACGTTGCATGTGAGGGTCAGTCGCGTTTGTTCCCAGGTAAGCGCGGTGTGACGTGGTTAGCTCTATAGCAATCGCGCCGAATCGGTTTCGGTACTGTGGCAATCGTGCTGAGAGCGCTAACCCCAACACATACATATGCATAACCTAAAAAATATGTCAGGTCAATAACCACGTTTCAAAATTGGATATATCTCATGGTTGAAATTCAAATAAAATTTGTTTTAGTGTACTTTTATCAATTGGATTGTATATTCTTCAATTTACGCACGATTTCAACAATGATTCGCAGAAAAATGGATTAACTGTGCTCTACAATGGGATATCCATTTTATATTTTTTTGTTAATATTTTTCAATCGTGTATACCACCATGATATATTTTTCAATTTTCATACCACCATGATATAAGAGACTTTCATGTATGTTTTTTTTTCTCCAAAATATAACAGAATTTATATAAATTTATAGAGTATATTTATTTGGCTTTTTACGCAAAAAATATGAGAAATCAAAGGACAACCATCTTTGATGTTGTATCATACCAACAATGTAACATCTTTTTGTACTACTATAAATATGTGAAATAATATACTCATATAGTTATATAGTAAAAAGTAACATTTTTTTTTGTGTGCGTATTGCATTAGTTGTTATAATATTATGAATTAAATATAGCAACTTGCTAAGTAAAATACATTATCACAAATTCACAATCACTTATTTATGTGACATGTTCATAAATAATAAAATTACTAAAATTCAAATATATGGTTTAGTCATGTGCCACTGTGATAAAGGATAATTCCTATACCATTAAAAATTATCATAACATACTTACGCTCTCTTTTCATAATATATAAATAAATTTAACTTTTAGAGTATATTTAAAAAAAATATGAAATCCAAGTTCAAAAGAATAAGAATTTCATTATGAATGAAAAATAATGTTTAGCATATAAAACTAAGTTAAAATTGATAACAGCAAGTCAAACACAATTGAATCAGTACTAACCTTAGATTTGAGACATGTTTGTCAGTGTCCAAATGGGCAGAAGTTTTAAGCCCAGAGTTTCCACGTTTAACAGCAGTACCAACAATAGGAGCCTTCATTGTGAATGAAAAACAATGTTTAGCATATAAAACTAAGTTAAAAGTAATAATAACAAGGAGTAATTTTACACTATAAAGTATTGGTGCTATAGGTTTTTACATTTATGGTATAACTTGAAATTGTACATTCAATATTATGGTACAGTTTTAGATTATACCTACACTGTTTTGTACATATTCTTTATGGTACAACTTGAACTTGTTCTTTATGTGATGGTACAACTTCAACTTGTAAAGTTGTACCATAACATAAGAGTACTAATTCATTTATGGTACAACTTGAACTTACATTTAATGTTATGGTACAACTTCAAGTTGTACATTAAAGCACCAATACTTTATAGCATAATAAAAGGGCTCTAATAACAAGTCAAACATAATTGAATCACTACTAACCACATATTAAAAAAAATGTTTATTACTGTCCAAACAGTTAGCCACAGGGTCAGTCATATCATCATAACCAGTATACACCACAGTCGAAATGGTATCCAGAAGTTCGATCTCCTCTTTCAATTCCTCAGCAGCAATTTCTCTTAAATACCAAAGGCAAATCGTGTTAGATCTTACTAAACTCTCCGGAGCACTGATATCAGGGGACCCCAACCTCGACTCCGTCCAACAAATCTGTGCCCTTAGCTCAACTTTTCGATTACCAACATTGTTAACACGGTGCGTGGAAATACCAGTCATCCTAGCAAAATAGCAAACTATGATATTAAGAAAAAGAAACTGATCATACAAGCAAAAGAACAGTGGAGATGACTGCAAAACAATTAACAGAGACTAACTAATGATTACCCTCGACCATCAAGTGCCAAAAGCGGCGATGACCTTTTGATAATACTTGCGCTAAGAGTAGATATATAAATCGATCGAAAGTACAAATGCCACACAAATGAAGGGTCGCCATATTTAGTTTGTGATAGACTATTATGGGCGCCATGTTTTATTTTTTTGTTATTTTTCAAAAAGTAAGAGGCTACTATTTCTCTTTGTATATATTTATTAATATTATTTAAACTGAGTAATAAATAGAAAATTAACCTTATTCATTGAACAACAACACTACCAAGTACCATCCACCTTCCTTTAAAATGCTCCAACTTCTCTCCTTTAAATTTCAATCATGTATTCCACCATGGTATATAACGCCTCTATTAACAAACAAAAAATGATTTCGAATGTGAGAGTGAATATCGTTTTGTGTAGTTGAAATGAATGAAATATATACCCGCGGATTACCCGTTAATACTCGTTTGGGTATTACGGGTACCCGTACTACCCGCTCATAGCCCTTTACGGGTACCCTTGCTTGTGTGTATTACAAGACTGGTTCCTCAAAAAGAACTTCATTTAATTACTCATGCTATCAAGCGTATTGAAGAACTACTAAAAATTTAATGTCTCTTATTTAAGTCCACTCATAATTTGATATCTGATTAGTGCATGAAGACAAAAGTCCACACCTTTGTAAAGTTTACATTAAACTCTTGTCCTGCTATGATAACCTTATGCTTTCTGCTGATGATTGCAAGATGTGATCAGATAGTGTGACAACACCCTTATTTTGTTATTATAACAACACTAGTCTCCAATCAATAGGAAGTTAGGATTGTGATGATTTTTTATTAGATGAGTTGACCTAGTATAAAATCAAAGCAGGGGTATAATTGTCATTATGAAAAATATGTTTAAATAATAATAAAAAAATAAATTTTTTTTTTATTTTCTACCCAAAATTTTAGTCGCCGGAATTCGGTCACCGATTGCTGGAAACTGGTCACCGGTTACCGAAATATGCTTTTTGCCGTCGGAATATGCTATTTTGTCATCGGAATATGCTCACCGTCGCCGGAATATGCTCACCGTGGTCGAAATATGCTTACCGGCGTCGAAATCTAGTCATCTGGGCCGGAATATGTCTATCGGTGTCGGAATCCGGTCACTAACGGTCATCGGAGTTTGGTCAACGGTCTTCGTTGACCGATCAACGGTCAACGACCAGCGGATGTTATGGTCTGCATTGTGAGATTTATGGTTTGGTTTCTCATATTTTTGTATGCCTTTTGTAGTTTGCTTTATCGTGTTTATGGTTTGCATTAAGAAGTTTCTAGTTTGGTTTCAAACATTTTGTGGTTTGCATTGTGAGGTTTCCGGTTTGTTTTACTATATTTGTTGTCTGCATTAGGATGTTTCTGGTTTGCTTTTTTGTGGTTTGATTTACTGTGTTTGTGGTTTGCATTAGGAGGTTTCTGGTGCGCTTTTGCAAATGTTGTGGTTTGCTTTGTGGGGTTTCTGGTATGTTTTAGTGGATTTGTGGTATGCATTATGGTGTTTCTGGTTTGCATTAAGAAGTTTATGGTGTGCTTTCGAAAATTTTATGGTTTGATTTGTGGGGTTTCTGGTTTGTTTTAATGGATTTGTGGTCTGCACTAGGAGTTTTTTGGTTTGCTTTTTTTGTGGTTTGCTTTACGACATTTGTGGTTTACATTATGAGGTTTCTGGTGTGCTTTCGAACAGTTTGTGGTTGCTTTGTGGGATCTCTGGTTTGTTTCAGGCAATTTATTGGACGTATTAGGAGATTTCTGGTTTACTTTTTTGGATTGATTTCCCTATTTATGGTCTGCATTAGGAGGTTTCTCGAGTATGCTTTAGATACGTTTTTGTATGCTTTTGTGACGAGTCTCATATTACTAATAATGCATGTATAATTGGCAAAATGAAACCATATCTTAAACTAGCAGCTCCAATTGAGTACTAGTGTTTGATCATAACCTTACCTCCACTCCAGCACTAACAGCCATAGTACATACATACACTAAGTCACTCACTACTCCATCTCCTCTCCTCCCACCGCCCACCTTCTTCCTTCATCTCTACCCTTCTTTGTAGTTTCAGTTTCTTTACATTTTCTATATCACCAGCACCAGAGAATGACTCCAACCTACCTTTCATGAAATCTGAGGAGAGAAAACGATGGAGGAGAAAGAAAAGAAAGAAAGCCAGAAGCTTGGGTTTTGTGGGGAAGGTTGTCTGGTCCAAGGCTAGCTTTCTCGCCCATATATTTTGCAGATTCATTGTGTATATACATCATCGGCAAATCTATGCAAATGGGTAGCTGTAACCAAAACGAGTGGCCCTCGGACAAGCTCTTCTTATTTCGGAATTGAAGAGAACAAACAACCTCTATCTACTCTGTTCCACCAAGTCGAAGCGGCGTTAGTAGCTAGAAGGAGATTGGCTTTAGCTTTTGACGGTGGAAGCAATTGAAGTTGTGGATGCGGAAGCAACGATGAAATTGGCGGCGACTGATGGGTGCTAGAAGGAGATTTCAGCGATAAAAAATTAAAAACGCCTGGTGATAGAAGAAGCAGGGCAGTGGAGAAGCGTCGCCGATGCGGCGATGGTCGGAAGGCAGGCTGTTGTGGATCAGCCCGCCGACTCCTCCCCCGAGGGTTTTGGATTTGGATCTTCTTCAGGTGAACTGGATCTGAACCCTGGCTACTCCGAGGGCTCCTTCGGCTCGATCCACGCCAAGAACGGCAACGGCAATGGCTACGACGACGCTGACCTTCACTTTCGATGGTCCCGTGCTGCCTCGGCCGACTGAGATACGGGAGGAAGGTGCTGCTCTTCTCGAGTGGTGGCGGAGATGGATTAAATAGATTTTATTTTTATTTTATTTTTACTTTAAATTATCATATAACCCTTAATGAATCATGTTGTTACAGTAACAACAAAGGAGCTGTTGTTATACTATCCGCTCCCTTGCAAGAGTAAGCCTATTTCCTGAAGAATGCATGGCGAACTCTTTTTTCTCACATTAATTTTATTAAGGTGGACAAATGATAACCCTTGGAAAAGCTTTAGATGCTCGCATTGAAAGTGAATTCAATAATCTTGCAGATCTGGTAATGAATTGAAAGAATCAGATGGTTTGTTATTAGGTAGCTGTTGGAACCGAGCATGAGACAGTTATAATAACAACCTCTCTAATTGCAATCGTCTTCATCTATGGTCTTCATCTATGGGTTACCCGCAAGTACTTGTTATCCATCCCATACGGGTAATGGGTACCTGTTAACCGGTGCGAGTTACGGGCATGGGATGAAGTTTCCTCTCCAAATGGGAACGGGTACCTGTTTCAAACGAGACGGGTTCCCAATCCCATCCCGTTGTCCACCCCTATATGTTGTTCACGAATCCATTAGAGTTCCATTATACTCGGCCTTTTACTTCTACTTCATTGTTGGCCTGGCAATGATTGAATAACTATGACGCCACATTGCCACAAATATTTTGACTTCAACCTAGCTATAGCCTCTATATGATTATGAAATTCATTCGACATAACTACCTCATTCAGATTTACACAAATCTCTCCCATCAATTCCAAATAATAAAACTTCATCATGCAATCAAAATACATCAATTACTTTATCCTTTACCACAAACTAAATTATGTGATGTATTTATTATAGTGTCTATGAGAGAACTCAGTTGCATGTTCAATGAGAAAGCTCAAGCCCAAGCCTTTATAGTTCTAATGGTGATGGATAATATAGCCACAAGGAGGAACATTACAATTGTTGCCACTATCCTTTTGGGGTCATTTATTGAATTAATATGGGATGGTAATGTGAAGCACAGGTAGATTGTCTTCGTAACTAGAACTATGCTTTGATATCATTAATAAAAGATTAAGGGTAATGCAAATAGAGTTCTACACTTTGCGGTGTAGGATTGCAACTACACATTGATTAAAAGCTTATGATATGCAATTATCTAACCCTTTCCTTTATCTAATCCATGTTTATGTCGTGGGTGCTTAGTTACCAAACATGTACTCTTTCATTCTTGAACCTCCTTCAAGTGAATGTAAATGTTGTATTATTGTTTTGTCAAAATGAAAAATACATTCTAGAAAACTAACTCTACCACTCTTCACATATTAAACATCCTGGCCAATCTTTTTGATCTATAACTTTGTGGCCTCAACTATATACATCAAAGTTACGAAATTGGCCAACTATACATCAAAGTGAAACCAGAATTGTATTGGTGGTGGTGGTGATGGTGCGCAGTGGTGGGAGGAAAAAATTGTAAATAAGGAAATGGAACCCTAGAAAAAGATAGAGATTGAGAGAGCGAGAGAGAGGAAGGTTTTGTCACCGCCTGATCACCAGGAAACAGAGGTTTCCACCACCACCAGGTGGAGGAGGAGGAGCTGCGACTGCGAGGATGATGATGAGATTGAGATTCATGTTCTGGTTCTCGGCGAAGAGGAGTATGAGAGAGCATTCAATTTCTGTTTTTTTTTCTTCTAATTTTCGGTTTTTAATTTTTTAAAATTTAATTATAATTCAAAATTAGATAAAATGTGGAATTTAGTAATTTTTTAAGTGTTTTTATGTTGACGTGGCGGTGACAAGGCGGGTTGACTGTTAGTCAACGAGTTTGACTGTCCAAGATAACGGTCAAATCTTGAGCTTGGCCAATTTCGTTACTTTGATGCATAGTTAAGACCACAAAGTTATAGATAGAAAAATTGGCCAGGATGTTTATATGTGAAAAGTTCGTGCCATACAAATTTATTAACCCTTGTTGTAAATAAAGGAAAATCAAACTTTCTGCCTCTTGACAAACCCATATGCCAATTCCTTAAGGTTTTATTAGCATCTAATTATAAAGTTGCAAAGCACTTTGAAGAATGTATTAAGATCTTCAATGGTATCTACGGATTGAGTCTTGTGGGTAGTCAGATCAATCATGACTTTAATGATGAATGCGAGCAGTACGTACTTTTAATTTAGAAAACATTACCATCATTTGGATAATCTATTGCATTGGAAGATTCAACTTCTAAGTTTGTTCAGTTGTAAATTCATTATATGTAGAAATAGGTTGAAAGTTGACTACATGCGACAATGACATATGATAATGTGGATTATCTATGTGAATTTTTTGTCGCTAAGTTGAAGAAAATATTAATCACTTGCAATGTTTAACCTAAACATTCATATATAAATGGGAAAAAATCAATGAAAGACTATATAAAACTTATGAAGTTGAAACTTTTTTGACAATCGAAAATCAAATGGTCGTTAATATGATCTTCCAACTGGTGATGAATTCTGAACTCTTATTATTTGATATTATTGTTGATCTTGGTCAAACACAAAATAATTATAACGACTAACGACCCTCCTATAAACTGAAACTTGGATGATAGTAAGGGTCCTACATTTAATTTCATGTTTGGACATAAGTTCCTTTATTTTTTCAGTGTTATCGAATTCTTACTTTTCATATTTGTTTATTATTGTTATCTATTATCTGTGTTTCATCTTATATGTGGGCCTTATATTTAATCATTGATTAATAATAATATCAAATAATAAGAGCTTTAACATCATCACCGGTTGGAAAATAGTATTCATAACCATTTGATCTTTGATTGACCAACAATTTTCAACTTCATAAGTTGTACATGGTTTAAGGTAGCGTACGCCACCTTACGTACTCTTATCGAGTTTTGCTATTTAGACCATGAATTAACGGAGTTTGGGACATAATATTAAACATATCATCTAATTGGTGAACCCCAGTCTCTAATTGTCTAATCAAAATGGTATGATTCATTAATGTAAAATAATAACCCACGATTCGTATTTTACAAAATATAGTAAAGTACAACTAATAAGTGTGAACTAATGTGTATATTACACATCGAGTATATGCTAACCTTTTTGCCACCATTACATTAAAGTACAACCAAACATGCTTCTATATTACCTTCAACATTTTATGAATGATATCAAAACAAAATGTTAGTTATAGCGACACTTTGTCTTCGCTTCATATTATCATCAAATATTAAATGTGTGACTAACTGAAACTGGAATTGTGTGATAACTTAATACAAACGCAAAGGTGCCCGATTTTGAAATTAGCATAGTTAGTACATACTGCGTTTAATACACGTATATGTACCCGTACGTACTTTATTCGTTTAAAACTTCCGTATCCATATTATTGTCAAGTCGTTTCATTAGTTTCCGTTCATTTGACGGCTCCCGTACTAAATACGTATAAAACTCGTATAATACGTTTAATATTCGTATTTAATGAAATAAATTATTAACTTTACTATTTTTTTTATATATTTGTGACTTAACGTACTATTAAACGTAACATTAGCTAAGAGACGAAGTATAATATTCGTACGTATTTAATACGTAACTTTCCCGTATCGTAATCTACTAACTATGAAAATTAGTACAGTAGATGAATTTATAGGACATCGGACAGGGTATGATTCTGCGTTGATTTGCCCTAAATGATTTTAGCTACCATTATTGATGATGAAGATGTAGACAATGTCTCCTGTGTTACCGATAATCTCTATACTCCAAATTAAACGTTCCTGTAAGTTGTGTTTCCTGTGTTTTATATGTTGATTGTCTTTTTATATTATTGTAGAAGGGAACTAATGTTGGGAATATGGAGGAGAGACCAGATGCAATATTCCCAGGGATTTAATGCTTTTGCTCTTTAGAAAATATGTGTGCCGAAGAACCAAGACTTATTGTCTTTTGTGTTTTTATTTATCTATGGATTGTTGAAGATAGAACAAATATAATGTAATGTGTTGTTTGTTTGTGTGGATTCTCAAGTGAACTCAGATCATCTACAAGAAAGAAGACACTCCACAAGTTAGCTAACAATTGCCTATTGTATAAACAACAAATATGAAAGATAGGAAAGACCTATCAGTATACCTGGGACATTAGCATTAAACAACCAGTTTTGTGCATACATCAAAGCTTCAAACTGTCTCCGGGAGAAGTCTACTATGACGGACGAATACTTGTCACACTGGAGATAGAGAATGGAATTTTATGACTCTTATTGAAAATACATGAATCACAATAAAAATCCGACACTTTGGAAACTGAAAGAGATTGAGTATGGAATTAACGAGACAAAGACTTAGCCGAGGGATGACCAAGTCGATGAAATTGGATTAGTCCGACATAATTTGGCTACAGATAGTAGACGCTTTTTAATGGATGGAACACATAAAACATCACCCAATTTCAACGAATTATCACCACTTTGAAGCATAGAAGAGCCGATATGTGAAATTTTCAAACCTGAGCCATCCGTAACTATGGGTACCCTACCCGACTGTAACCAGTCAACTAGGGTAATTACATGCTTTGAGGGGTTAAGGGGCGGGTAGTTTATGAATCGTTTCTGTTGATTATTAGACGATTTGTTCACTTGTGTTCCATATGGCTGTGTGTTTCCCCCAATCGATTCGTCCTATTTTGTAGGTTGAAAAATGAGTTCGTGACATGAATCTCCTTGTGAAATCCTCTCATAGTCGCAGGCGTTGAGAGAAATTTGTCAACAATGCTTGCTCAGAGATTCCTAATTCTAGTGGTACTCCTGCTACTACGGTTGGAGTGGAGAGTCCACCCCCACCACCTGCAACTGATGCTCCTCCTGCTACTAGTAATGATGAGGTACTTGATACAAACAAATTGAAGAGTGATGTTTGGAAACATTTTAAACGAATCTTGAAGGCAAATGGAGATATAAAAGCTGTGTGTAATTTATGTTCACAATCTCTCAATGCTGCTTCAAATAATTGGACAAGTCATTTGAAAGAAAAATTAAAGACATAAGACAAATGCTCCTGACTAAGAATTTAAATTATCTTAGTAACACTCGATCTCAAAGATTTGATAGTCCGTATGAAGGGAGGAAGGCTTTGGCATCTATGATTGTTGATGTGACTTGAATTGGACTATCAGCCGCTATGACTGGAATAGTTGGCATCTATAACCGTTTCCTTTGCCATGTTGGATTAGGTTTAGACCCACATGGAGAAGTATAAATACTTCTCATCTCCTCTGTAATCTGTA